CACAGCAAAAAAAAAAAAAAAAAAAAAAAAAAAAAAAATCAACAAAACAAAAAGACAACCAACCAAATGAGAGCAAATGTTTGCAAACAACACCTCCAATAAAAGGTTAATATACAAATATATAAGGAACTCCTACAACTCAACAACAATAAAAGAAACAATCCAATTTAAAAATGGGTAGAGGACCTGAACAGACACTTCTCCCAAGGAGAGATTCAAACAGCCAACAGATATATAAAAAGATGTTCAACTTCACTAGTTATTAGGAAAATGCAATCAAAACCACAATAAGATACCACCTCAAGCCTGTTAGAATGGCTATTATCAAAAATACAAGAAACAACAACTGTTGGAGAAGTTGTGGAGAAAAAGGAACCATTATATACTACTGTTGGGAATGTAAATTGGTACAGTCACTATGGAAAACAGTATGGATGTTTCTCAAAAAATTAAAAATAGAATTACCACATGAACCAGCAATCTCTCTTCTAGGTATCTACCTGAAAATCTTGAAAACATTTATTCATAAAGGTATATGTACTCCTACGTTCACTGCAGCATTACTCACGGTGGCCAAGATATGGAAACAACCAAAGTGTCCTTTGATAGATAATTGGATAAAGAAGAGTGGCGCATACATACAATGGAATACTACTAGGCCACAAGAAAAGATGAAATACTGCCATTGAAACAACATGGATGGATCTTAACGATATCATGCTAAGTGAAATAAGTCAGATGGAAAAAAGTCAAGAACCATGGTTTCACTTGTATGTGGGATATAAATCTGAAAGCAACGAACAAACAAGACAAATAAACAAAAAATCATAAACACAGACAACAGTATGGTGGTTACCAGAGGTAAGGGGGAAGGTAAAGGAGGGGAAAGGGAATCCAATATATGGACAAAAGGAGACTTGACTTTGGGTGGTGGACACACAAAGTGATACAGAGGGGCCACATTCCAGAATACAGCAGTACACTTGAAACCTATATAATTGTATTAACCAATGTTATTTCAATAAATTTAGTTGAAAAAATATTTGAAAGAATCTGTATCAAGTGCCTAGAATACTTCAAGCACTCAATAAATGGTAGTTACTAATACTTCTTCTCATTGTGCCAATTTAAATAATTAACATTTCATACATAACTCCGCAAATCACGTGATAGCCTCAAAGCCTGGTTCACAAAAGGAACCTACTGCCAATGGGCCCTGGTTACTCGAGTGGCCTTCAACCACCTAAGCTAATAATCCCGGGCAGTTATCCAGTGTAATAAGAGAAATTACACAGCACGTATGATTTCAAGAATTCGTCGATTTTTAGAGCTTGGCTAAGCACTGCTCGTTTTGATGAATGGCTCTTTATAGGGGAACCCCGTCAGCCCATGGCGTTTTTAAGCCCTCAGTGTCCCCTGAATTGGGAAAGCCTTGGAATGCTACAGGGCCAAATGAGTTCCAGCTGCCTCAAAGCTGTAAAATCTTAGGGATCTGCTAATGTAGATGGACAGAGGGTGAAATGCGGAGGTGAAGGTCCTTTGCAAAATCTAAACTCCCTCCACAAAATGGAGTATTATTCAGCAATAAAAATATAAATGAAGCACTGAAACATGCCACAATATATATGAACCTTGAAAAAGAACCAGCCACAAAACAGTAAATATTGTATGATTCCACTTATATGAAATGTCCAGAATAGGTAAATGTATAGAGAGAGTAGATTGGTGATTAACTAGAACCCAAAGAGATTGGGGTTAGGGAGTGACAGCTAATGGGTACAGGGTTTATTTTAAGGAAGATGAAAATATTCTAAAATTAAATTGTAATGATTGCACAACCCTGTGAGTATGATAAAATCCTGAATATCACACTTTAAATAGGTAAAGTGTATGGTATGTATATGACTTATATCTCAATAAAGCTATTTTAAAAATCTAACTCATTATCTGATTAATGAGTCCTTCAATTTTCCTGCCTGTAGGAATGTCCTCTCTGTGAAAAACTAAAAAGAAGAGCTCAGAGTGCTGTCTTGGGTTTAAAGCTATAAAATATCTTGGCTTTGGAAGTATGTTTACTTTGTGTGTTCATCTATCATCTCCACTTTATTTCAATAATCAATCATTTCAAATGAATTTCTGTGATGGCAAATATTTATGCAAGCATACATAAATGTAAAATTTATCTATCCTCAAACTAAATCCTACAGATGACAGTATTTATTGCTCACAGCAATGCTGGTCTCTATTTAGTACAAACAGACCCCCTTGTTAGCCATCTTCTTTTGGGTACCTGCTACAGTGACTTTCAAACAACTGAAGCTCCGCTTTCCCGGGATCCCTTTGTTCTCCTAAGAAATACAGGAAGAATGGCACCACAAGGACAGGCAAAAAGTCTTCCCTACTAAATTGGTTAACCCCCTCTGCTAGGGACCTAATGAAATCAGTGTTATTCACTTGAGTGGGGATGTTACTGGAGCAAACTAGAGAAGAGATGATCTCTCTCTTGATTAGGAGATGAAGGAGATAAATTAGAGTATGGGCCAAGTAATGGATAATACTTTGAAAAACATAACTAGACTAAGGAGTCTGTAGTCTGGAATATTTTTACTGATTGCAAAGCAAACCTGTATTTCAGGGTTTTTCCAAGCTTTTGTTTTTAAGTTTAGAAGAGCTTGTATCTAATTAATGTGCCAGTTACTGTGGGAAAAGACAAAAAATTGTGGACCTACAGTCCTGGCCTCTCTTTCCAAAAATCTGAGGAGAAATTAAACACATTCATGGGAAGAGACTTAAAAATAACAAGAATAAAAAATATACTATCAACATAACACATATTACTATGTAATACTTAAAATATTTAATTGGTTATGGAGAGGAAGATGTTAAATGGACATTAATTAGTACTACAAAGTAGGCAATGCCTCCCGAATACTGCCTGCTACTTTCTTTTACTCAAAGAAAGGTGCACAGGTCTCAGTAAGCAATTCTACAGGGGAGAAAACTTACTAGTACTATTCCTATATAAAAATTAGTTCTAAACTCCTAACTTTGGTTGAACAAATTATCTACCTATTTTTAATCACAATTTAATCCTGTTTATTCAAGTGTCATCTCTGCTGGTGTATTTTTCAAATTATTATGTTCACCCCTCCAACTGATACAAAGAGCCTGTTTGAGATGAGCTACTCTTAACATTCTTTGTTTTCCAGAGTCCTTGAATTTGGACAGATAAAGGAAGTATTTTAAGATTTAGGCCACCACATATAAGTAATGTTACAAATAACTTGATCATTTCTTCTGCTTAAGTACTTAAAAAAAGAGATTCTAAACTCAACAATATTTCACTTAATGATACTATGATCCTCTCTACTACATTCCAGTATTCTAGTTCAAATTTCATTTCTAACTCTTTTAGACATTTCCCTTAATGTATCAAAAATCCTTCCTCTGGGATCAAATCTTTTCAATGCAAATATTACTTACGAAATAACAATGTTGCATCTCTTGACATTTACTATGGACTGATATAGATGACTTTAGATATTTGAATTATTAGCCACTACGGTCAATTTTAGATATTTTTATAAAGCTATTAACATTAGTCTTTGCTTACAAATTACAAAACTTCATCTGACTGCTTAAACATGGAGTCTTACATAACTACTTCAAAAGTTCACAGTTAAGTTTCCCAAACCTCACAACCAATAACTTGGGCAATAAATTTCACAAGACAGCTGTGATATTATAATCTTGATTATATCAAGTTGAGCACTTGTTTTTCAAAGGCTATTTTTTAAAAAAAGCAAGTGATTTTTAAAAATGAGTACTATAATGTTAATAGCTGCTTCACATAGTGGACAGAGCTCTTAACATCCACTCCTACTTGAGATGTTTTCTTTATGTTGCTGCCCCAAAGGTCTACTTAAATATATTTGAATGAATAAAGAATATGTAGTAACATTATTTGTGTACCTTACTTGAGCCTAGTCTGAAAGGAACACACCAGAATTTAAAAAGAAAAAAACAAAAAAAAAGTACACTTGCTTAAGTGAACATTCAATTACGAAACGACAGACTAGTCACACCAGACAATGACCACAGCATATCACTTGGTTTGGAGAAAAAAAACCAAAAAAAAAAAAAAAAACCCAAACCTAAAAGAAATGAAAATAAAGGAAAGGAAACAAAAAAACAAGTGCAAAACTTTCCCGCAGATAATTTTCTAAGCTTCTCCAATCTGACCTTTCCCTTCCATTTTTAAAATCCTCTGCCTGGATGGAATAGCTTAGCTCACTCTTTGTGGGAATACTTTTTCCTACAAATGTCAATCTGCAAAAAGTATTTCTGATTTCTAATGAAGAGTTAACGTTTTGCAGAAGCAATAGTTCTTACTACTTTTTAGACTCCAGAACAGTTCAGCGAGGATTTTTAAAATGCAAATTACATGAAATTGGCCAAATCCAAGAGTGGCTCGTTCCAAGGAGGAGAAAGATTTCGTAAATTCTTTGTCCTCTTCCTCCAGCCCTCATCCCCGCAAAAAGTCAAGAGAATGCTTTTGCATCCTTAACACAGTGCCAGTGTCCAAATACAACGAAAAACTTTATTTTTAAAACACTCAGAAGGGGCGAACCAAGGTGGGTAGAGTGTAACTGAAAAGATGGCACGGAGACTGACTCTGGGCCATTAACCGGGAATGGCTTAAATGACACAAGTCCACAATTCAGATTTCTTCCGCCCCTACCAAGTGGCACTCTAGAGTCCCTAAGTTACGCCAGGATTGTATTTGGCACTTCGAAACTCTGCAAGTATAGGCACGCCGCCGACGGCTAAGAAACCAGGTGGGTACGCGAAACGCAGAAATTTAGATAGGAGAAGAAGAGAGCTGGAGAAGGGAAGGCCATGTGGTGGGCCCGGAACTCGTCGGCGCCGACCAGGCCGGGCCGCAAGCCGCGCGGAGCGTTAGAGGAGCGAGGGAGCGGGCGGCGCTCGATCTGACTCACCTGCCCATTCACCGAGCCCTGGTCCGACCCCAAGCTCGTGACCCAAACCCCAGACCTGAAGGGCTGTGAAGAGTGAGTACAAGATGCGAAGGGCCAGGTAGGCCACCGTGCCGGCGCCCACCCAGTACAAGAAGCCAGCGGCAGGGAGAGAGCTTTCCATGGCTTTCAACCAGGCCTCACTACCCTCGTGAATGAGGGGAAAAAATAATCAATGAATCCTGGAAGGGGCGCCGGCCGTGACGGTGAGGACAACTCATAGGCGCTGCTCCGATATCGTTTTACCTAAAATCCGCCCACGGCGCTATATACGTGCCGCCATTGGTGATCGAGTATTTCCTCTGCGCGTAGTGCGTCAATCATTGGCTAATTCCAGTTTCACTGCCCCGCCCATGTCCCCCGCCCTCACTCGCACCCAGCCAATTTCCGTTCTAGGGAGACTGAGCACGCCAATCAAGATTCAGCTCAGTCCAAACGTCACCAGGACCCCCGTGCCTCTACGGAGAGCGGCGCGTCTCACCCCATCAAATAACCCAAGTCTCTCATTGACTGCCACGGTCCTCGCGATTGCGGAAGACTGCACATCTGTTGGCCAATCACACCGGGCTTTGTTTGAGCTCGGGTTTGAAGAGGGACTGGGATCAGCGGAGCCACTAGTGAATGGGAAGATTGTAGTAAGAAGTAGGCGTCGAGCCGTGGTTTTATTTTCACCTCTTTATCAAGTACTTTATCATTGTTAAATGTGCTGTTATTGTTCCCATAAACTTGTCCAGATGAAGTCTTGCATCTTTTGTTTCTATGCCTTCCCAACAGCACACCTTCGCTCTGGTGACGCTCACTTATTGAGGGCCTCCTAAATGCCAGGACCCCTCCTGCGCTGAGCATTAAAGAAATTCCCAAAGTCTTAGTTCCCAGAGTCTTAAAGTGCAAAGCAAATGGCTTCGTGGAGACAGATAACTAATACACTATGACATAGAGCTGTAAGATGAATGACAAATACAGGAATACAGCTTGATGAATACCATGTTTTAACTGGGCTTTAACGGATGATAGAGGTTTTTCTCTTACGTTTTAGTTTTCTTTTTGTTGTTGTTGGGGAAGGAGGAGGAGGGAAGTGAGATGTGAGGGGGCACAAAAGTGTACAGTCCAAGCAGAAGTATGGGAACTACCTCAGCAAAGTTCCAGAGGAGTATGCCTTAAGGTACGTTTAAGAAATTGTGTATTGCAATGAAATGCTTCACACTTATCCTTTTATCCTCCCATCGAGAATATAAGTTGCCCAAACTTTTTAATTTATCTCTTTCCACCTAACCCTCAATCTTTGTCCAGTCTCTTTTAAGGAATAGAGTGAAGAAAAAAATAGAGTCACAAAGGTCAAGATGCCAAATTACTAAAATCAAGTAGGTTAAGGTATGTGGAAACAATTCTATTCCCATTTTAGTTAGACTGAAAACTTATTTTTGAACTTTCCAGTCCTGTATCAATGTATGAATATATATTAAACCTTCAGCTAACCCTCTGATTACTCCCTGAAGGATTAAGGAAAGCGTGTTTGTGTATCCAGACTACCTGACAATCCATTTTTCGGATCATCAGTCATCTAGAGGATTTTCATCTTGGACGATTCCAGAGGTTAAGAATGCAAGACTGATTCTTCATAAGAATGTACTTTTTACTATAAGAATTCTTAGCTTTTCTTTCTTCTTTGGAACACTCTGTAGATTGGTCAGTTGTTTCCAGTTTGCAAACTCTTAAGTCCCTTGAATAAATCTGTAATTTATTTCTAGCCAAAGCCTCCAGAGTCCTTTTGAGTTCATTCTACACTTACCAGATTCATTAAGCATAACCCTAAGGCCGAACTGTTCTCCGTAAGCTGTCAATTGTCCATTTATGAATTCAGCAGAATTCAGCCATATAAGTTGAGCTGGCACCATATTTTAATTGAATTTGACACCTTTGGCTTGGACTACCTCTCCAATTCAGCTGAAGTCCCACCACTCCTTTGACATTCTCTCCTTCCTTCTCCCCTCTTTGCCTACAGTAGAACCCCAAATTCATATATCCCTACTTATAATAATTGCTCACCACCAAAGGGCACTCCAAGTAACCAGTCCCATTCTCCTTAGAAAAAATTGGGAGGAAGAGAAAGGAAATCTTATAAATTAAAAATACATAGTTTTGTTGCATTTGTATGCATGTCTATGGGAATAATACACTGTGAATCCGTAGGACCTAGAACAGTGCCTGGGACATGGAGACCCTCAATGAAAGTCTGACAAATAAGTAGAAATGAAGATTCATTCAACAAATATTATTGTGCTCTGATTATGTACCAGTACCTGAGCTAGGTACTGGGTATACAAGAGTGAGCAAATGGTCAGTTCCTAGTCCTCATCCTACTGTACAGTTCTATACTGGGTGGCCATTGGTTTTCTCAGCACCTGCTGCTTCTTCCTAGAGTTCTTTCCTGGCGCCTCCTTGTGCTGGCCTCTACATAATGCAGTGCCCCTGGGTTCAGACCCCAGCTCTCTTTACTTCTCTACACAGTCTTCCCTCATGATTTTATCCAGTCCCTTGGTTTTAAATATCAACTGTAAGCTGATGACTTCCAAATGTCTCTGGCCAGGCTCTCTTTCTGGTCAGGGATATGTGTATGTGTGTATATCCACCTGCCTACTCAACGTCTCCACTAGATGTAAAATAGAAATAAACACCCCAAACTTAACATGTTCAAAACAGAACTCTACTGCTACCACACAGATACCTCCCTTTTTCCCTTCTCTGTTAAAGGCACCACGATGCACCCCTTTTTAAAGATCTAAAACCTAGGGATCAAACTTGACTCTTTTCTTTCCATTACACTCTCATGTCCAATTCTTTAACAAATCTTTTTCACTCTACCTCTAAGATGTATCGGGACTGACCACTCCTGCCCACTCCTGTGGCTACTAACCAAATCCAAATCATAAGCATTTCTTTCTTGGAGCACGGCAATAGCCTCCTAAGCAGTATCGCTGAAGTCTGGTTTGGGGTTTGTTTTCCAAGAGAAAACTAGAGTGCTTAATTTTAAAATAAAGTTTCTCCCGCTCACATCCCTTAAGGATTTTATATCACATTAAGACCAATGTTCTCTAAGACTAGTTCATCTGCCCTGAACTCTCCAGCAGCATCTACTGCCCCCTCCTGTGCTCACTTGATTCCAGCCACCCTTCTTGCAGTTCCTCCAGTCAGTCAAATTCATTCCAGTCTCAAAGCAGTTCTACTCCCTGTTCCCTCTCCTTGGAACCCCTCGCCGTGTATCCCCAAGGCTCACTGCTTTATATCGTTTAGGCTTTTGCTCACACATCCTCCACCTCAGAGTGGTTTTCTCTGACTGCCCTACATAAATATCCCAAATAGCCTCCACTCCTTTGCCCTGTTACTACTTATCCTTTTACCCTGATCTATTTTTCTCGTAACACTTAATGGTTTTGAATTTTTTTTTTGTTTTTGTCCATCTTCCCAATAGAAGTTCTGAGAACAGTAACCTCTTGTTCACCATTGTATCTTCACTTAAATGTGCACCAAAGAGTACCTGAAACTTTCATAAATACGCAATAAATACCTTTTGAATAAATGAATGACGAGAGAATAAGTGAAAATAGCCTGATGGGAGACACAAACACCCAACTAATTATGTGATAAAAATTATAAGTACAAAGAAGAAAAGAATAGGGCCTAAGGAAAGAGGATAAAGGGAGAACCTAATTTAAATGGGGTGAGAAGACTACCCTGAAATGCCTTTCTAAGGAAGGGGCATTTGCGCTGGAATCTGAGGATAAGCAGAAATCACTCTTGCAAAAAATAGGGTAGGAAAGAGGAGAGAGCAATAAATACTCATTAACAATTTTGTTCTGGCTTTGAAAAATACGTATATGTGCCTCTAGCACCTACCACATCATCTGATATAAAGTTAAGAAGACATAAAAATAATTGTCGATTTTTAATTTTTTAATCAATAAGGACAGCCACCCTAGAAACGGACTTCTCATGGATGTTAGAATTCACATTGAGTATGTTATTTTAATTAAAGAAATACTAAAGATTGAAACCATCTCATTTTGCTTTACCTTCTTTTTCCATAAAGTTTGGGCACTACCCATGAAATTTACATGAACAATCTTTATTAAAAATGCATTATTTTATTCTGATCACCTCAGCCGCCTTTTAGCAATAACTATTCTGTTGACTCAGAGGAAATAAAATAGTGACTTCATAGAGTGAAGTGGTATGAGCCAGAGTTAAGCTTTCTGGATTCCAACGGTTACATGATTTTGGAATTGAATAACAATCCTTTGTCTCCAGCTAAATTTTATAAATCACTAAAAACTCTAATGCATACAAGAACCTATAATGATGCCCTGTTGCTATCTATCAATATTCTGTGCTAAAATTTAACAAAGAGACCAAGGTTCCTAGAAACTGACAAAGCCATACTAAACAAACGTATGAAACCATAAATAGCTTTCCAAAGAGAAAGCAATACCCAAAACCTTTTTCTTTTGATGTTAGGTAAATCTGGGACCAAATTCTGATTCTACCTCTCATTAACTGTATGATTTTGTTATGATTTAGCTACTTAAATGTTCAAATTCTACATTTGTAAGGTGAGCATTATTATTTAAGCATTTAGCAATGGTTGGCAGATAGATATTATGGTCAATGAGGTAGGTACTACTCTTATCTCCATTTTAAAGATGAGGAAGCTGAGGCTTATACCATTAGACAGTATGTAGCAGAATTGGGATTTCAACTAAAAAGGTGTGGTTATGAAATTTGTTTTAAGAACTGGCTCAAAGAAGGCAACATAAAAAATAGCTAAGGGAGAGAAGAGTTTCTAGAAATACTTGTTTCTTACACAAATAACACACTCAGACATAACCACATTGGATTCAGTCTCATTTATTTAAAATATGGTTCAGGGTAGTCTTTATATGGAAAAATGTGAATAAACAATATTCTATCATATTAGTATAGCAATATTCCTATTTAACTTTAAATTCATTTTCAATATTTCTGTAAGCTGACTTTCAGATGAGATTTTCATGATGAAATCAGGAATTAGTCAATGTAATGAAAGAAAATTCCAAAATTAGGGGATTTCACGGAAGTGAGAAATTTTTAAGAATACCAATACAACAGAGTTGAATCCCTCATTCAGCTGTACAATAAAACTTGGATATTTTTAATAGTCTGGTCTTCTAGCTCATGTTCATTTAAGCATAGCTCAAAATATTGCACTTGAT